GTAAGAGGCTTCAGGCCACCAAGCCCTCCTCTGCCCCTGCTGCTCCCTCCTCCTCCCTTTCTTCCTCTTCATTCTCTTTTATCTCCCTCTCCTGGTGCCCAGTGACACCAATGAGCTATTCAGTGGCACAGTCCCCATCCTGAATGCCTTTTTCAGCCTATAGGATTTCCAGGCTCTCACACCAGCCTGGCACAAAGTGGCTTCAAAGTCAGACCTGCCACTTACTATAGTTGTGAGACCTTTGTCAGGTCACTTCTTTATGAGGCTCAATGCTCTGTATGTAAATTAAATAGCACTTACAGAGATATGCATCAAATGCAAACATAAACCTTAAGGATCCCCAGGTGCTGCAGCACATATCAGGCATTCTGTAAATGCAAAATGATATTATTACTACAGGTTCCTGACATAGACACATTCACACACACACACACACACACACTCAAAAAAAACCAAAAAAGGACCCAAAATTTGGGACCTTCATTCTCCTGAACCTGTAACAAGATGGTATGGAAAGGAAACAAAGTTCAGGGGATCTCTTCAGAGCTGCCAAGCACCAGTGCTTATTCTAACCCTCTCTGCTTATGTCATTAGTGATAGACTCTTTCAGAGCCCAGCTGGGAGCTGTCTCAGTCAATAGGCTGTAGTTTGCTTAGCCAAATGCCATGGCAGCTGTCCTGAGGCCTTCTGGGTAAAGGCCACTTGTGGGTGGAGCTGGCCTCATACTCCTTCCTCCAGAAGGTTTGTTGTGGACCTCCCTGATTTCCAGCTACCACATTGAGGCTGTGGTTTTGAGGGGATGGCCACCAGCCAGAATCCTGACCCTGGGTGCCCTGCAGCTGCTCTGTGCACTGAGGCATTGAAGCCACAGACCCTGGAAAGCTTGGGCAAAAGTGGAAAACAGAGCCCGTCTTTTCCCAGGGGCCTACCTGGACCATTCACCGGAGTTAATTGGCAGTGCCGCCGCTGGCCAGTATGAGTAACTGCAGCCTCTTGGGTCTTAAGGAAGAGGTTATTTTTGAGTAATCCAGATCTTGGCCTGGAAGGTACATGTGCACTCATAACCAAGATAAGACTGTTTTCATTGAACAACGGATAGGGAGTGCATGTAAAACATTCCCATTCCACACCCCAAACTTTCCCTTTCACACCTTAAAACTGTAGCTATTTCAAACCCTCACCTCTCACTTCTCAGGAGAAGATGCTCTCAGAGCATATTGCTTGTTCAGAAGCTGTATTGGCTCTGCACCTGTTAATGTTTGGTTTCTGCAGCCGTGAGAAGCCTTGGACTGTCAAGGCAAAGAGCTATTCATTGAGAGGATCCATTTGGGAGTTTGTGTTCTGACGGAAAAGGTATCCAATGACTAAAATAAAGAATACAGCTGGGGCTGGGGATGTGGCTCAAGCAGTAGCGCGCTCGCCTAGCATGCGTGGGGCCCGAGTTCGATCCTCAGCACCACATACCAACAAAGATGTTGTGTCCGCCGAGAACTAAAAAATAAATATTAAAAAAAAATCTCTCTCTCTCTCTCTCTCTCTCTCTCTCTCTCTCTCTCTCTCTCCCCTCTCTCACTCTCTCTCTCTCCCCTCTCTCACTCTCTCTTTAAAAAAAAAAGAATACAGCTGAGCCAGGCACAGTGGTGCACACCTGTAATCCCAGCAGTTTGGGAGGCTGAGGCAGGAGAATTTTGAGTTCAAAGCCAGCCTCAGCAAAAGCAAGGTGCTAAGCAACTCAGTGAGACCCTGTCTCTAAATAAAATGCAAAATAGGGCTGGGGATGGGGCTCAGTGGTCAAGGGCCCCTGATTCAATCCCCGGTACTTCCCCACACACACAAAAAAAGAATACAGCTGAACCCTCCCCACTTAAGCTCAGAGGAGACACACCCAGGTTGGCCTGGCTCTGTGTCCCCTGGGCATGTTCCCTAATCCCTCCAGCCTTCAATTTTCTCATCTGTAAAATTCAGTTAATCCTCAAGATACAGGCCATCCCCAGAAGAGGCTGTGAGGATTAACAGTCATGGGGGTGGAGTGCCCAGCCACACCACCATGCTGATGAGGTATTCAGAGGCCTGTCTGCAGACTGCTCAGGTACAAGCAAAGCTTTTGCCATGCATGTCGGTGAGGTGGACCAGCATTCCAGACTCCTCAGGCCACAGTGAATGGGATCTAGGAAGGGCTGAATGCCCAACTCTGCAACTTGGGCTCAGGATGCCTCACTTGTCCTTTGAAAAATCTTAGGAAATCCTCATGCACTGCTGGTAAGAATGTAAAACTTTGCAGCCACTGTGGGAAACTGGAAATTTCTCAAAAAGGTAAGTATAGATTTACCATGTGACCCATCATTTCCATTCCTAGGTATATACCCAGGCTAAATGAGAACATATGTCCATGTGAGAACTTGCATGTGAATGTTCATTGCAGCATCACTCATTGCAGAATTATTCATTATAGACAAAAAATGGACACAAGCCAGTACGCATCGACTGGAGAATGGAATCAACGAAATGTGTGCATTTGTACAATGGACTATTCTGCGGCTGTAAAAGGAACAAAATACTGATGTGGATGGATCTTGAAAACAAGCTACGTGAAATAATCGACACACAAACGGATAAATACCATGTGACTCCATTTATATAAACTGTTCAGAATAGGCAAATCCAGACACAGAGAAAGTAGATTAGCAGATGACAGGGGCCTGGGGATGGCAATGACCGTTCATGGGCGTGTGGTTTATTTGGGAGGTAATGAAAATGTTTGGGAATTATATTGTGGTGATGGTTGCATAACTGTGAATATACGAAAAACCACTGAATTCTACTGTATGTGAATTCCATCTCAATAAAACCGTTAGTTAAAAAGACTACCCTTAGCCAGCTGGAGTGTGCTCTGACTGTGGACGGACAAATGGGACGGGCAGCGCGGGAGTGGAACTCTCCTGAGCTTTACCCATAAATCAGATTAACCAGCTTTCCTCCCTCAGCTGCGCCGGGTCTGAAGGAGCTACAGCAGTCACAGGCTTTATCCAAGGAATTTAAAGGCTTCTGAGTATAGGGGGTCCCGGGACTTGAACAGGGGGATGCTCAGCCTCATCAGGAGGTACCACAGGAATAAGCTCAAGCTCAAGAACACACCTTAGCTTGGTCTCAAGACTTGCAAGAGCCATGTTTTCCAAACCCCAAACCAGGGCTGATTGCTACAATTTGTACTCAAAGGGGCAGTAGGAGACACTATTTGAAGCAGGGAGTGTCTCCAAAACTTTGGGTATAAGGCTCTGGTTTTCTAGGAAATACTCATCTCCCTTTGTCCCCCCAAACAGACAAGTTTCCAAAAAAACTCAGAGTCTTTGGGAGTCACAGGCAAAAGTCATGAGTTTCCTATAACTAAGGTGTCCAGATGAAAGGCATTTAACCAGAACCATCCTTTTCAAGAAGGAGCCAATCTGATGCCTGCTCAGGTTAGGTGAGGTGCCGGTAGACTTTTTCACAGAAGGGCACAGAACCCACACCAGGAAAATCCTGTCCAGGCCTACTCCCTCTGGTTTCTAGGATTGTTGTTTGGAATATTGGCAGGAAGTTCATTGTGGCAGAAACACTCCGGGGTTCTGTTCTCTGCCAACGCACCTTCCAATAGTAATAGGTATCTCAGACTAGACACAGGGCAGCCACACTCAGGGAGAGCTCCATCTGTTATCTAAAATAACAGTATCTGGTAGCTTTCCCTGAGGGAGTGATTAACCCTGCCAGGGAGCCTGTATCTGACACAGAAACAGGGCCCAAGAGAACTCAGAACTTCTTCCATATCTGAGACCCTGCTTCAGAGAGGGGCCTTGTTATGATTTGGATGTGAGGTGTCTCCCAAAAGCTCACCTGTGAGGCAACGCAAGAAGGTTCAGAGGAGAAATGATTGGGTTGTGAGAGCCTTAACCCAATCGGTGATTTATTCCCCTGATAGGGATTAACTGAGCGGTAACCAAAGTGGTAAGGTGTGGCTGGAGGAGGAGGGAATTGGGGTGTGGCTTTGGGGATATATTTGTACCAGGCCAGCGGAGCCTCTCTGCTTCCTGATCACCACATAAGCCACTTCCCTCTGTCACACTCTTCTGCCATGTTGTTCCTGCCTCACCTGGAGCCCTGAGGAATGGAGCCTGCTGTCCATGGATTGAGACCTCTGAAACCGCGAGCCCTCAAATAAACTTTTCCTCCTCTGTGATCGCTCTGGTCAGATCCTTCAGTCACAGCAGCAAAAAAGCTGATAATACAGGCCCCAAGGTTTCAACGGCCTCCACCTTTGGGGCCTGGCTCAAGACGCCACTCGCTCCTCTTTGGATTAGCTACCTTATAGGTCTCTCTCTCCTTCCAAACTTGTCCCTTGTCTTCCTTAAGTCTAGTCCCACGATAGCAATCAGAGAGATGCTTTCAGAGTGTAAGTTCTGTCACTCCTCTGCTCAAAAGCCTTCAGTGGCTCCCAGTCACTCTTGGGGTAAAAGCTAAAGTCCTGACAAGGGGCCACAAGGCCCTAGGTCACGGGTAAACCCCTCACCACAGTCACCCTGCAGACTGCACCCTCCAGCACCCCCCGACACAGACATGTCTCCCTGTACATCCTTCTCTGAAGTCCTCTCCCCTGGTCCTCAGCTCATTGGGGTTTCTCCTACTATTCCTCAGTTTGCCCTTTTGTCCTTTCACTCTCTGCCTTGAAGGCTCTCCCCAGGTATCTGCATGGCTCCTTCCCACACTTCCACGCCTGGATTCTCACCTCACACTGGGGCCTTCCTTGACAACCTATTTAAGTGACCAAACTGATCTCTATAACCCTCAACCCTGTTTATTTTTTCAATGATATTTACCTCAATTAACACTATAGATAGATAGAGAGAGAGAGAGAGAGAGAGAGAGAGATAGAAAGATATATAGATAGCATGTGTTATTATAAATCATATTTCTTTATCAAATCTGTCTGTCATCCCAGTAGAAATAAACAAAGACCAACCACAAGAGAAAAGCAAAGGCTGTTTATTCCAAGTTGCTAGAGCGAGGGAGTCAGCTTGCATGGTCTTTTAGTGGGGTCCCAAAGGCAGGCAGAGAGAGGTAAAACTTTACAGTAGAAAAAATGAGAAGGTTCCAGGTACACGTTGACTCCAAGCTGTTGACCTGGGAAAGCTATAGGTGGACTAACTAGAGGCGGCAGTCTAGGTGATTGGCGTACCTTTGGTTTTCTCTGGTTGGTTCTAAGTTAGAAATAGGAACAAAACATAGGGAAGCTTTCAATTATTCATCAAGTCCTGGTTGTTTGGGCTCCTTTGTTACAGGGGTTGTTGTTGGGCTTCCTGGATTGTTATTAGAGCTAGAGTTCTGGTTTCTTGCAAGTCTGAATCACAGCTGGCTGGATTTCTGGGTTGTTGGTTATAGATAAGCCAGGTAGTGTCCTGGGCAGGTTGCTGCGGCTGTGAGTTGGAGTTCTGTTTTTATAGGTGACCCAGCCATTGTCGAGTTGGATATTCAGTCTCTCATTCCTCCCTAGAATATAAATAAGAAGAACATTTTTGTATTTATTGTCATATCCCCAGAGCCTAGAACATGTGGAGTGGGGTGGGCCCTCACTATTTGTTGTTGAAGACGATAATGTTGATCTATATATAAGTAGAAAAGATGTGACTCTATTTCACTTGGGTAGAAAACTACCTACAAGCCTGCTTGATTCAATCCAATTCTACAAATGTTTGTTGAGTGCTTTCTACATACCCTGGAGGCCAGTCCAGGTTAAATACTGGCTGAAAATGAACTGAAGATAGGATTCCGAATGCTTTAGCCCAGGTTCATAATGCCACTTTGATTTCATCTCCACTTTTAAGACCGCTTCAGTTTCCAGGTCTTCATTATATTAAGACTGTTCCACTACTTCTTCCAGTTCTCATTTAGATCTCAAAAAGTGTCTATGTGGTAAAAGTTGATGGGGGTTTCGTTGGTTTGTTTGTTTGGGGTGTTTTGGTTTGTTTTGGTTTGATTTTTTGGTTTGTTCATTGGTTTTTGTTTTGATATAGGGTCTTAACTGTATTTTCTAGGTCTTGAACTCCTGACCCAAGCAATCCTCCTGCCTCAGCCTCCTGAGTAGCTGGGACTACAGTCATGCACCTCTGTGGTGGCTCTTGATTGCCTCTTCCATGAGCTGGTTATCTAGTAATCAGTTGGATTACTCCCTTGGAACAGGAGTCCCATCTTACTCCTGATGCAGGTGAAACACAGGAGGGGCTCAGTGATCTGAGTCTCCTGATATTTGATCTTTTCCCTAGTTTTTAGATTAAATATCTCACTGACCTCACCTTCCACACAGAAGTCACACCTGGCTCTGGACTGCCATCTAGAGGTGGAGGAGCAGTACTCTGGCTCTATCACCCAGGGATGATCCCCACTTGGGCATCTCAACAACTTTCAGACAAGGGCTCTCCACTAAGTTCTGTTTTTGTTGTTTGATTCCAGGCTGGGGTTAATTTCTCTCTTTCAGAGAGAAACTCAAGGAACCAAGAAAGAAATGGAACTGGAAATAGAATCTGTTGGGCTAGCTCTTTAGTAACCTACACTCAGCTGTGGCAGACAGAATGTAAGCTCTGCAAGGGCAGGGATCTGGGGCTGTCACGTTGGCTAAGGTAACCACAACGGGCACATGCAGCTGCTCCTTAAGTGTCACTGGGTGAATGGAAGGCAGCCACCAACCCCCTCAACACACTAAGTTTTGAGTGAGAAACACCATGTTGCAATAGTGATCACTTTCAATGTTCACTCATTTTGTCATTTAATTTTCTCAGCCATCGATACACACATTAAATAAAAAGGCAAACAATCGAGCCACCGACATGAAAGAGGACTCTGAGGAGCAGAAACGCCATCTCTTGTTTGTGAATCCCATGTGTTTTCGACGCAGGCCTGCTGAGGCGCGGACTCCGCTTTCTACAGGGCACGAAACATCTCCCACCTCAGCCAGTGTTCAGCCCCTCAACAATAATGAATCCCTAGTACTCTGCTCCCTGAAGATCTCCACCGAAATTTAAAATGAATCAGGATGGGAAAAGTAAACACAGGCTACAGTTGATTCGTGTGCGTTGAAGGCCTTGAGAGAGAAATGGAAGCAAACACCGATTGCTGCCTTCATTTCATTCAGGTAACTTTTTTTTTTTTTGGTCAAACCTGGTAAACGTTAGAAACCAATGGTCTCCGCCCTGGACTTCAGACTTCTGGATTTCCTTTCTGACAGTTAGCCAAATATGTGCAAGAAAAAGGGGAGGAGGATTCTCTCTCCTCCAAGCCTCCTGGGGCCACTCTTACTTTTTTCTGGATCCTCTGGGCTCAGCTTGGGGCCTGGAAGACAAGCAGCTCTTCCGGCTGGTCACTAGGAAAAATGCTGAGCTCTTCATGCTAGTCTTCAGGAAGTCCCTCCCAGAGCCTGACTTCAATCTCTCCTTTCGAGTGTTCAGCACAATTCCCTCTGGTGCTGTCACTGCTGGAGAAGGAAGGACAGCTGTCCCCTCCGCCCTCCTTCTCATCTTCCTTAATGGGCTTGTAAACAGTTATCAAGGCCCCTTCAGCCTTCTCCGAGCCTCATTTTACTTGAATGGAAGCTGAGTGCTTCTGAGGTAGGGGTCTCACCGACTTGCAAGGTCTCAAACGGGTAATCAGCCACTTCACCCACTTTAACCTCCACGAATGAACGGCTCAACCTTCTTTTGCAAAATTTAAACCCCATTCAAGGGACTTCCCTGACAGCCCACCCTTATTAACAAACCATGCCTGGTCTAGGCCAGAGCAGAGCATTTGACAAATGTGTCTCTTTCTTAAGTCATGCTGTGGCCCAGGCACACTGTCAACAAGCAGCAGCGCTCTCCAAGGTCTTCACTTGCTGGCTGTCCTGTGCCTCCCTCAGGCCACTGTGGGCCTGTGAGTTCTCATCTCATGCCCCAGCCGGAAGGGGGTGCTGCTCTGATGGACTCTCACTGGGTCTTATAGTTGTTGGACTTGGGCTCCAGCAGCTGGGGAGCAGGACAGAGAGGGAAAGTGAGGCTTGCCAGGTCTCTGCTTAGGTCTGTGCTGGAGAGTTTCATTTTCTGTTCCATCACAATGCATTGACTCTCAGCTCAGAGCTCAGACCAACAGCCTGTGGTGTGGCCCCACTCAGAGTGCCATGGTGCCCTTCAGTCACAGAAAATGGGAAGAAGCAGGGCAGGTGATTATAAGGTTGGTGTTCAGCTTTGAAAAGAGTGATTTCATTTTGAGGCCCTTTTTGTTTTTTATTTTGAGATAGGGTCTTGCTAAATTGCTTAGGGCATTGCTCGGTTGCTGATGCTGACTTTGTACCTGTGATCCTCCTGCCTCAGCCTCCCAAGCCTCTGGGAATACTGGTTTGCACCACCACACTTGTCTTCTCCAGCCCTTTTTATGTTATATTTTAAGACAAGTTTTCACTAGGTTGCTAAGGGTGGCCTCGAATTTGTGATCCTCCTGCCTCAGTCTCCCAAGTTGCTGAATTATAGGCACGCACCACTGTGCCTGGATCAAGAGTCATTTTAACCAGAATGGCTAAAATTAAAACACCTGTCAATCCCAAGTGTTGACAAGGATGCAGAGCAATTGGAAGTCTCAATCCTTGCTGCTGGAGTGTAAACAGGATACACCAACTTGGAACTCTTTAGTAGTATTCAGCAATTGCTACAGCAATCCTGCTCCCAGGTATATGTATATGTTCAGAAGCAATGAGCATTTGTGTTCACCAAAATACGTGTACTATAAAGTTCATAGTGCTAATTCACAATAGCTAAGAAAAAAAGGAAAAAAAAAAGCTATTGGATGCTGAAGCACCCACTCAAGCATAGAATAGGTAAATAAAGAGTGGCATAAGCATCCAAAGGCATCAGACACAATGATGGAGAAAGCTGTATGACTGCTACACAGTGCCTTGGGCTCACCCCACAGACGTGAGGCTGAGCCCACAGACATCAGAAAGGAAAGTGTACATCCTGTGAGACCCTGTTGATATGAAATTTTAAAATGGCAAAACGAATCTATGATAATAAAGATCAGAATGGTAGTTGTCTCTCTAGGATAAGTCTACATAGGATCAAGTTGAACCCCTTAGATCTTTGTCAAATATGACATCTCAATAAAAAAACAGGAAGCATCTATTGTGTTTTTTTCTTCCCAAGTGAACAACTTATTTACTCACCTTTTTTTTTCTTTGCTCTGTTTTTGAATTTAAAAAATTGAGGTGACTTACAAAAGCGTATAGTGTTGAACTACATCTATAGATGAAGATGGGAATATTAGGTGAAACCAGATGTGGGGGTAGTCCTCGATATTTGTGTCAGGAAGTCCTCTGCAGTTGCTGGGGTGAACTGAATAGAACTTTCTATTGGTCAATGCAAAGAAGAAACACCGCCAGTTCTGAATTCAAACACTCAGGCTGGGATTGTGGCTCAGTATTAGAGCGCTTGCCTAGCACAAGTGAGGCACTAGGTTCAATCCTCAACACCACATAAAAATAAATAAACAAAAAAAAATATTGTGTCCATCTACAACTAAAAAAAAAAAAAACAAAACATTTTTTTTTTTAAGTGAGCAGTCTCAGCTGATCAGAAGCACATGTAGTTCGGAGCCCTGAAAGAAATTTTCCTGTGCCACTTCAACAAAAGGCAATTATGTGAGCAAACCCTATCTTTTGTCAACCTTCCCATTTGGGACCCTAGATGTCTGAATCCCTAAGCCCCATATGTCCATATCTGGGCCAGGCCCATATTTCCACACCTGAGCCTTGCCCACCCCTGCCCCTGTAGAAATTAGGGTGAGGCAGCCCCCCTGAGGGTCAGGGCCCCCCCTCCTGCTAGGTGGTCCTGGGAACTACCCACCGTTTACTTTCCTGCTTGCGATTTGAAGAATGTCCTTGTGGTGAGGGCTGGGCTTCTGTTCTTCGGGTGTCCAGCTTGACGTCTTTGCTTCTGGAACTTGGGCCGCTGTCCTTGGTGGGGGCTTTGCCCCTCGGCCAGTCTCCTTCCTTGCTTATGCTCCTTGCAGGCTCCCACCCTGCTGCAGCTGCAGCTCCCTGAAGGCTGGGCTCTGTCCATGTTGGCATTTGTTTTAATGGATCTTTCCACTTCCTGGCTCCAGTTTTTGAGTTGAATTGATAGATCTCCCCAGTCACTAGAGGAGAGAAATACAATCATATAAACCAAGGAATTCAAATACTTCTGTCTTGCCCCACCTCTCCCCCACATCGTTCTGATGGCCAAGAAACAATGAGACATGCAAGCACCACGTGAAGCACAGACAGAGAAGCAGGTTGGTGAGCAGCACAGACCGTCTGCACCAGCCTGCCCCTGCCCCAAAGCCACGCAACTCAAACCACACGGGGAGCATGTGCCACACCTCGCGGATAGAAAGGTTCAGAAGAGCCTCAAAGCCACGTCAAGTGCAATTTCAAGGAAGTCTTGAACTCCTGCGGGCATCAGGTAAATGAGGTTCGGTTTCTAATGGGGTTACCCATTATGTTCTGATTTATTTGGTTTGTTTGAAAAGACCCCTGGATGCCTGCTATAAAAAGGAACTCACCAAGTAAGGAGGGCAAGACTTTGATTTTTTTGTTTATGTTCGGTGAGTAGAGATTCGAGGACTCAGACACACATAGGTGGCCCCATTGGAGACGAGGCAAGGGAGCCATTTTGATTGTGTCAGAGCCCACAGACACTAACTGATGTGTTTGTTCACATTAAATCAATTGGCAGATTTCTTACCTTCTTTTAAAGTCTTTGCAACAACAACAACAAAAAAAAAAAACTGCAAAAGGCCTCCAGCTTTTGCACTGGAAATAGGGTTTAAGTCAAGCCCCGGCTCCTGCCATTTCTGTAGAGCACGAGTGGCCTCTCTGCTCAGAATCCCACCAGCACTTATGTTAATGTGGGCACATTATGGTAACAAGTGCCTAATAATAGAGGGAAATTTAATTCCAACAGCAGCAGCTTCTCACTGGAGAGGAGCCATCCTCCTTGCGAGGAGGACCACAGCGGTCTGCATGTGAGGGTGGCAGGGAGCCAGCACACTTGCTTCCTGGATTCGGTTTCCTTCCCTTTATTCACGTCTATAATTGAGCCTTTGTAAGTGGAGGGATGTGTGTAAAGGAGCTAAATTGGGAGCTGATTTCGTGGGGGTGACAAGAGTCTGCAGGCCAGCTTTACCTTATGTTCATCTTGCCAACCAAGAAGAAATTCTTGGCCCTGATCGAGGGGAAAAGAAGAAGCCAAACTTGCCATTTCTTCCACTGCTAATAGGATGGTACGAGAAGCTTTCAGGAAGGATGAGGGGAGGGGAGAGAGTTCCAATGAGCAGGGGGGAAAGAAAAGAGAGAATAGTGGGTTCTTGAATTCACCATTTCCCTAAACTGTGAGTTCGGCAGGGAGGCAAGAAAGGCGTGTCCTTGAGCGGGAGCCCTTCAGTGGAAACCCACAGGGGAGGGCGCTGCCAGCCTGCACGCCCGCTGTGCGCAGAGTGGATCTCCTGTTGTATTTCAGCCTGGAAGTGTCAGCGCTGCACTACAGGCAACGTGATTGGATGGATTCACTGAGTGAAGAGCAGGAAACAGGACAAGGTCATAGACCAGCCTGGGATACGGAAAGCATTCTTATGGGTGACCTTGCCAGTCCATTACCTGGGTCGACAGCTTCTCCATCAAAGACCGTGTTCATCTGGACAGTTTCCTACAGAGCAGAAAGAGACAGCTTCAAGCACAACCCTAGGCTTCCCCTGCCCCAGGCAAGGCCACTCATCCTCACAGCCCCGCAGCCGGGTTCCTTACCCAAAGCTTCTTCTTGACATTTATCTATGTGATAGGCACTGTGCTAGGTGTTAGGGACACTGGGGTGAACAAGTCATGTGTGGTTGCTGCCCACTTGTAACTGATGAACGGGGGCTCCTGTGCAGTCAAAAGACCATGGGAGGAGCTATGTGGGATGCTATGGGACACAGGTGGGAGTGAGGGGGATATTTAATCCAGACTTGGTGGTTAAAAGAGCATCCTGAGTAAGTGACACCTGAGTTGCATCAAAGGAGGAGTAGAAACACCACACAGCGTGTCACCTTGGTGAGATCATTATAAGGCAGACTTGCAAAGCAGGCACAGAGGAGCCCCCAGGAGCTCCCATCTCTGGCCCTGGCACACCAGCCTGGCACTCCTGCCTTTTCCTGCTGCCTCCCCCCCAAATAGGCCAATGATCTGTGCCATCCTCAAGGACCTGACTTGTGTCCAAAATGCACCTGTCCCTGACCCCATGGCACCCCCTTCTTTCACATGATGCCATACACAGGGTCTTTAGTATGCTAATGAGGACGGCATTTAGAGCTTAGAGGACCTCTGGTCTTTGTATTTTCATCATATTTGTACATAATCACCTCTCTTTCCCCACAGCTCCCCAACTCTGAAGAGAGGGAATAGGGATTTACATGGGTTTCGTCCACTGGATCAGGTAAGCAGCCCCACTTTTTATAGTCACGAGGACCTATTTATTTAATAGATTAATTTAGCATTACCTAGTTCTAAGACCATCGCTGAGAGGCATACCCAAGGGTACTTGCCTTAGGCAATAAGACCACAAAGACCGAAGTCTGCTTCTTCTCCCCATTTGAAGACCAACAAGGAGGTCCAAGCTCTAAGATAATGGGCCTGAAGCAAAAATCCCAGTGTACCCCATCAGCCACCTCACAGTGCTCATTCAACAAATACAGAGTTTTGGCTCATAATGAAGTCTCATCATGGGGGAAGAGAAGGGAGAATCACCTTCGAGTTCCATCACTTCCCAGTGAAGACAGCCGTCTCGGTGAGAGACAGGGTGAGGTGGCAGGGTAACTCTCCAGCTACCCTATAAACTCCGCATTTGTGTGACACCCAACAATTTTCACCATATTTCCCCACCTGTTATCTCAGGGCAGGTGACCTTGCTCCCATTTCACTACTGAGGAATCTAAAGCTCCAAATAGCTAAGGGGTCCCTAAAGCCATGTGGCTAAGTGACAGGCCTGGACCATAGATAGCAGTGCTCTTTCTCTATCACTTTTCTGCAAGGTTGTGGAAACAGCAAAGAAAAATTAAATTCAACTGGAAACTGAAGTGCCAGTTGGGGTCTTTAACCTCCACTCCTCCAACACACTCTGCTGGAGAGCTGGTGGAGACGGTAAA